GAGTAACTATCCTTGAGTTCTTTCTGAAAGATAGTAAACAGATTCTTCGTATAATTCTCCCGAGCTTGTTTTTCAATGGGATGTTCAATTATCAATGTAGGAACTGAGTTTGTGGACTTAAAATCTTGCTCAAGTTCAGCGGCTCGGCGAGCTCTGACAGCATTATCATACTGCTTAACAAAATCATGTAACTCGGTATTTACATTCACAAAATGATCAAAAAAAGCATTAATTCCCTCACTCCGCTGAGTAGATGTCATTCCTGCAGTAAAAGTGTCTTTAAGATACACTGGAGCCCAATGATCTCGATGATTGTATAAATTTACTAACCAACTCCTTTTATCTGCACCATATTTGTCCCTCATTTCTTCCCAACGCTTTTCAAATTTTTCTTCCGATTTACTCCAATACCATTTGTTATACTTTACACCAACATCCTCACCATAATCATTATGCATTGATTGAAGATTTTGTAAGGCATTCCTACGAAGGTGCCAAGAACAAAAGCGATGGCGAGTTTTAGGAAAAACTTTGTGAATAGCACCACACATAGCTTTATCTTGATCAGTGATGATTGTTACTGGTGCTATACCCGACATACATTTTAACCATTGGCTAAATAACCATATAAACGTCTCCTCCGTTTCATCGGCCAGTAACGCACACCCAAATAGAGTAGACTGTCGATGATGGTTAACGCCCGTAAATGGTGCAAACGGCAATTTTAAATTGTTCGTTCTATATGTAACATCAAAGCAAACAACATCTCCAAATTGCAAGTAAGAAGTCCTCGACCTACCATCCATCCAAAAAACACTTCTCATCGTCCCATCATTTTCTAAATCAAGTGCGAAGTAAAATTGAGGATCAGATACCTTTTTCTCTTGAAATTGACGAACTATGTTCACGCACTCATGGCCGACGTTGTTTCTTCGTTTAAGTCTAAGTTGTGCTTGGCATTCTTGTTGAGTGAGAGAGCCTTGTTCATTGCCATGAGCAACGTCTACAACCTTACAAATGGCAGAAGGCCGTAAACCTTGATTGTCAAGAGTATCTATCAACCTTTTTGTCGATTGAGCTCGATGAAGTGTCCGATGTGAGTAGTGCTTCTTTACCCGAGTTGGGGTGGTTAATGGATGACCATTATGCTTACTGTTTAACTTTCGGACCACCCATTTTTCAGTGCTTCTATCAAGTCCAATAACCATCCTTGCGTTGCATCCACATCTTGTATCGAACTTTCGAATTACATTCCGACCATCTTCTCTTTTATCTTTTAAAGATTTAAAGCCTTCTTTGTCACATACAAATATTCTAGATAGGATTGCATCTTTCTTTCTCGACCAAGCTGTGTGACCCTTGCGAACACCAAATCCCTTAAGTCTGGCGTATGCATTGTAGAAATTATAAGCTTCCTCATGAGTAGAGAACTCCATTCCGATATATGGATCAACGCTGTTTAAATTATCTTCACCATTTTCAACGCCCATAAGCTCATCACCATTCTCCTCATGCTCGGATGCCTATAAAAATAGAGAAACAAAACTCATGCTAAAAGACAACTATTTTGGTATATGTCATTAGTTAGTAGTACACTATAAACAATAAGATATTATCACCTGAGGGGGAAGCCATGTTGTAGATAGTAGATCATGGTCCTGGCTTTTATCTTCTTCCATTGTTGCCTCACGTGAGAGAATTGGTGGAGTGTCTATACAAGCTATCAAATTATAAGAATAATTAATAAAAAATATAATTACTTACATTTAAAATTAAATAATTATGGAAGAATTATCTATATAATAAAACGTACCAGTTATGCTAATACAACCGATAATATATAATAGTAGAAATAATACAACAAATTATATAAATAATACGTTATTAATAATATAACATATTATACAAAATAATATGTAATAATAATAATAATAATATAACATATTATTTAAAATGATACGTAATAGTATTGATAACACAACGGATAAATTCTAAAAAAATTTATTACACTAAATAAATATCTAAATTATTTAAATAAATATAAAACTCGGACTTTAAATCATAGAAAATTCTAGAAAATCGAGAAAAATATAAATACTCTTTTAAAAATAATAATTGAATATTTTAAAATACCAAAATTATTTTAACTATATTAAAAGTTCATGATCCTTACAACTTGAGACTGTTCTGTTTGTACCTGTCACTGCTTGTGTTATGAATCATACTTCTTAATAGGCTCCCTCTCTACAGGCTCGATCTAAGCTCTCTTGTAAATATTGCAAGATGGAAGGACGTCGTATTGAGACATGCTTTAAGCTTCATCTTGAGTTACGCTCCTTAGGTACCGGTCATGGTCGGCGACCCTCTCAGTCTCAACCCTCTCATACACCAAGATTGCTGGCCAATGCTATACCTTCTATCACTTCAGACTCTACTATTCAAGCTATTGAAGGTCTTCGCCATCAACTTGATGCTTTTCAGCATATCACCTCTACATCCGCTGCAGAACTCTCTGGTATGCATTTTGCTGGTTCTTCAGCTAACCCTTCGGTCTCTAGTATGAATGATCTCAGGATTTTTGACTCTGGTTGTTCCTTTCATATGACTTGTAATGCCTTACTTTTATCCTCTGTCTTCACTTCATCTTCTCTTTCCCCTATCTACACAGTTGTTGGACAATTATTGTCTATCACTCAGTATGACTCTATACCACCACAAAATGATCCATCTGATCGTCTAACACTTAGTCCTGTCTATGTAGCTCCTCAGTTGTCTATACCACCACAAAATGATCCATCTGATCGTCTAACACTTAGTCCTGTCTATGTAGCTCCTCAGTTGTGCTTGAATTTAATTTCTATTAGTTCTTTATGTATGACTGGCCTGCTTGTCTCATTTTCTTCTGTATCTTGTGTAGGATCCACAGACGGGCAAGATGGTTGGGCGGATCCTAGGAGGCACAAGCTGTATTTTTTGGAATATCTTCACCTTCCAGAGTCCATACGTCCACATTCTCTTGTTGCTTCTGTTTGTTCATCAAAACCCTCTACCTCGCTTCTTGCTAATTTGTGGTATAGATGACTTGATCATGTGTCTAATAAAAGGCTAGAGAGTCTTATTCAGTCTGGTGTACTTGATCTTGTATCATCTAGTTCTAGTATTGAGTCGTGTACTGATTGTAAATTGACTAAATTCACTACTTTACCTTTTAAAATGAGTATATTTGTATCCACTTCCTTATTTGATTTAGTACATTCTGATATTTGGGGGCCAGTTCCTCTGCCTTCTTTATCTGGCTACTTATATTATGTTAGTTTTATCGATGATTTCTCGTTTTACATGGGTTTACCTACTTAAGAATCGCTCTGATGTACTTACTGCTTATCAAGCCTTCACTGCTATGATCTTCACTCAATATCAATTTTGTATTATAGTTTTCTATTCTGACTGTACCAAAGAGTATCACCATACGCTCTATAATGTCCTCTCATGAAACTATCTTCTAACAGTCATGTCCCTATACTTATGAGCAAAATGGTATTGTTGCACGCTAACATCATTATATCCTCGATACTACTCGATCCATGCTCATTTTTTTACTCTGTTCCTCGTCATTTCAGGGCTGAGGCCATTCTCACTGCTACTCATACTATTAATATCACTCCATCTAGCTCTCTTTCCGGTGCTACTCCTCATAGTTGAAAGTACCCTAGAGGGGGTGAATAGGGTTATTGCTAATCTTACTAGATATTAATGCCGATTAAAATTAATTAACAAATATATCCTAATAATATTAATATTCAATTTGATTAATGCACGTTTTGTACACACTTATTCAAGTTTTGTACCCATTTATACACGTTTTGTACCTACTTAGGCACTGTTTTGTACCCATTTATACACGTTTTGTACCCAATTAATCAAGCCTTGTACCTACTTGTAAAAACTTTTATACCCACTTAATCAAGTTTTGTACCCACTTAATCAAGTTTGGTACCCATTTATTCAAGTTTTGTACTCACTTAACCATATTTTGTACCTCATTATTCTTGAATCAAAATTTTGTACACACTTATTCAAGTTTTGTACTCATTTATACACGTTTTGTACCTACTTAGGCACCGTTTTGTACCCATTTATACACGTTTTGTACCCAATTAATCAAGCCTTGTACCTACTTGTAAAAACTTTTGTACCCACTTAATGAAGTTTTGTACCCATTTATTCAAGTTTTGTACCCACTTAACCATGTTTTGTACCTCATTATTCTTGAATCAAAATTTTGTACACACTTATTCAAGTTTTGTACCCATTTATACACGTTTTGTACCTACTTAGGCACCGTTTTGTACCCATTTATACACGTTTTGTACCCAATTAATCAAGCCTTGTACCTACTTGTAAAAACTTTTGTACCCACTTAATCAAGTTTTGTATTCATTTAATCAAGTTTTGTACCCATTTAACCATGTTTTGTACCTTATTATTCTGCTGCAAATTGTGTACACACTTATTCAAGTTTTGTACCCATTTATACACGTTTTGTACCTACTTAGGCACCGTTTTGTACTTTTGTTCCTCATTGTTCTGGGGGAAAAAATTAATTCAAATTATCATCCATACATGATTAATCCATACAACCACATTATCATCCATACATACATAAATCTTAAGGGAAAAGTGAATAAATCAAATTGTGAACATTCAACCGAAACACATGCTTTGTTTTGGCCCTCCGTAAACTTTGTTTTGGCGATCCCGTTAACTTTCTCGACCTCCACCAGCAACATTTTTGTTCTACAAAAAAAATTGCAACTTTATCATGACAAATGCAATGACATTGAAAAAATATTAAATCAAGATTTAGTATAATACCTTAGCTAAAGGACAACTCGTTATATAATGTCTTTTTCCCTTACAAAACCCACAAAATCTTTATTTTTTATACTCTTTTCTTGTGCTATCTCCACTCCCGACTTAATTCTAGTAGCATGTGCTGGTCATCCCTTCGTGGCAACAGGCTTATCTGGATCACGAATAGTGATTTGAGTTGCTTCCTCTATAGAGATGGGTATGGATGAAGTAGGCATCTTATTGCTGGCATTGCTCTCATTTCCATTGTCGTTATGTTCCTTCTCAATCTTGGAATTCTCAACTTCTTCAAAAAATGAGTCTAAAAAAGCACTAAACTTATCATGAAGTGTACTTGAAGTCAATGTATCTTCTAGTGCCTTGTTACATCTACTCCTAAGGGCCCAATGTTTAATGATAGATAGTTGGTCTTCACTATTTGTAATGCAATTTCTAACAACTCCGCAACCAACATGTCTTGCTTTAATTGTCCATCGTTGCATGATATATCTTGATGGAATTTCTAATACTTGCTTCTTTACTAAAATGTGCAAGCTATGTTTGCATAATATACCTTCCATCTCAAATCTCGCACAAGAGCACTTAATTCTTTTTTCTTTGGATGTATCGAAAACAACATGATGCTTTACTATCTTCTTGCTTTCAGCCTCGCTATCTATATTCCAAATGGCATAAGTAGCACTTGCGCCGTCCTTCGACAACTTTTCATGAAGCATGGAGTAACTATCCTTGATTTCTTTCTGAAAGATAGTAAACAAATTCTTCGTATAATTCTCCCGAGCTTGTTTTTCAATGGGATGTTCAATTATCAATGTAGGAACTGAGTTTGTGGACTTAAAATCTTGCTCAAGTTCAGCAGCTCGGCGAGCTCTGATAGCATTATCATACTGCTTAACAAAATCATGTAACTCGGTATTTACATTCACAAAATGATCAAAAAAAGCATTAATCCCTCACTCTGCTGAGTAGATGTCATTCCTGCAGTAAAAGTGTGTTTAAGATACACTGGAGCCCAATGATCTCGATGATTGTATAAATTTACTAACCAACTCTTTTTATCTGCACCATATTTGTCCCTCATTTCTTCCCAACGCTTTTCAAATTTTTCTTCCGATTTACTCCAATACCATTTGTTATACTTTATAGAAACATCCTCACCATAATCATTATGCATTGATTGAAGATTTTGTAAGGCATTCCTACAAAGGTGCCAAGAACAAAAGCGATGGTGAGTTTTAGGAAAAACTTTGTGAATTGCACCACACGTAGCTTTATCTTGATCAGTGATGATTGTTACTGGTGCTATACCCGACATACATTTTAACCATTGGCTAAATAACCATATAAACGTCTCCTCCGTTTCATCAGCCAATAACGCACACCTAAATAGAGTAGATTGTCGATGATGGTTAACACCCGTAACTGGTACAAACAGCAATTTTAAATTGTTCGTTCTATACGTAACATCAAAGCAAACAACATCTCCAAATTGCAAGTAAGAAGTCCTCGCCCTACCATCCATCCAAAAAACACTTCTCATCGTCCCATCATTTTCTAAATCAAGTGCAAAGTAAAATTGAGGATCAGATACCTTTTTCTCTTGAAATTGACGAACTATGTTCACGCACTCATGGCCGACGTTGTTTCTTCGTTTAAGTCTAAGTTGTGCTTGGCATTCTTGTTGAGTGAGAGAGCCTTGTTCATTGCCATGAGCAACGTCTACAACCTTACAAATGGCAGAAGGCCGTAAACCTTGATTGTCAAGAGTATCTATCAACCTTTTTGTCGATTGAGCTCGATGAAGTGTCCGATGTGAGTAGTGCTTCTTTACCCGAGTTGGGGTGGTTAATGGATGACCATTATGCTTACTGTTTAACTTTCGGACCACCCATTTTTCAGTGCTTCTATCAAGTCCAATAACCATCCTTGCGTTGCATCCACATCTTGTATCGAACTTTCGAATTACATTCCGACCATCTTCTCTTTTATCTTTTAAAGATTTAAAGCCTTCTTTGTCACATACAAATATTCTAGATAGGATTGCATCTTTCTTTCTCGACCAAGCTGTGTGACCCTTGCGAACACCAAATCCCTTAAGTCTGGCGTATGCATTGTAGAAATTATAAGCTTCCTCATGAGTAGAGAACTCCATTCCGATATATGGATCAACGCTGTTTAAATTATCTTCACCATTTTCAACGCCCATAAGCTCATCACCATTCTCCTCATGCTCGGATGCCTATAAAAATAGAGAAACAAAACTCATGCTAAAAGACAACTATTTTGGTATATGTCATTAGTTAGTAGTACACTATAAACAATAAGATATTATCACCTGAGGGGGAAGCCATGTTGTAGATAGTAGATCATGGTCCTGGCCTTTATCTTCTTCCATTGTTGCCTCACGTGAGAGAATTGTTGGAGTGTCTATACAAGCTATCAAATTATCACATATAAGAAGTTCAAAATTGCTCAAAAAACGTCATCAAGTTGATCTTTCAATTTTACTAAACAATTTCATTACGATAGTTTAAATCAAATTTAAAGTTTATATCCAATTTAACAATACATGGCAAAAATAGCTCTAAATTATCCGGCTCGTAGCCATAGAGTGAGTGCTGCAAACCAAGTAAAACCTGAGGGCTGAAATTAAAAGGAAGAAGATAAATCCAAGGAATATGCATGAGGGAAGATAGAACCATCATGAAATCCACTAGATCTAGCAGGAACGCCAACTAGAACTAACATGCCTCGTAATAGAACTAACATCATCTCCATTAGAGCTAACATGCGAACTAACATGCCTCGTAATAGAACTAACATCATCTCCATTAGAGCTAACATGCATCCCGGTAGCATTAACATGCATTTCAGTTAAAACTAACACGTTAATTTAGAGCTAGCTAACATGCATTTCAGTTAGAACTAACACGTTAATTTAGACCTGATGCCTTACCTCGGTGGAGGCGAGCTCGACAGCGACGAAGTACGATGAGCCGGCGACAACACTGAGCGGGGATGGAAAACGCAGGCTGCGGCGATTTTGGGAGGTGGAGAGGGGGGGAGGTGAAGGCGAGGCTGATGTCGAGGGCTTAGTCGAGCTCCGGAGGTGGCGATGAACCTGAGGGCTGAGCTCGAATGCTGTCAGAGGCGTAGCTGATGACCAGGGCTGAGCTCGATGGCGAGGAGGAGTAGACGGCGATGACCCGGCGGCGACGCTCAGCTGCGGTGATCTCGGGCGCTGGAGAGGAGGAGGGGAGGTGATGGCTAGGGCAAGGGGACGGCGGCGACGCTGATCGGGGACGTCGAGACACAGGCCGAGCTTGGGCGCCGGCGCTTTCGGGCGGTGGTGAGGGGGAGGAGGTCGGTGATGGCGACCGAATGCGCGATCTTGAGCCGGCGGCGACGCTGATCGGGGGCGGCGAGCTCCGGCGGCGATTTCGGGCGCTGGAGAGGAGGAGGCGGGAGGTGATGGCGCGATCTGGGCGGGAGAGATGAGAGAGGGGTAGGGATTTTGGGGGGATGGGATTTTCAACGAAGGGCTCAGATCTCTCTGAGGGGTTTTGAATAAACGGCCCAGATCGCGCATCCTCAGATGACAGCCTACGGAGTCACCGCAGATTCACATGACCCTATATATATATATATATATATATATATATATATATATATATAT